CCAATCACTATCGCTGAAGCCAACCAACCTAAATTCAGAAACTCTTGAATACCAGATGCCATAATTCTTGGTACCTACTACATAATGAAGAATCCTCTTGGCTGCACCAAGATGCAATTTTGTAGGGCTGTGAAGAAACCTTGATACTACGCTAACAGGAAAAGAAATGTCCGGTCTACTATGTGTCAGGTAGTTCAGACCACCAACTAGACTTCTAAACACACTTGAGTTTGTTTTATCGGATCCATCTTCATGTTGTAGCTTCTCATTGATGTTCATTGGTGTTGTTGATACTTTACCACCAGTCACATTGAACATTTTGAGCAGGTCCGTAGCATACTTCTTTTGACATACAAAAATTCCATCTTTTCTTTGCAGCACTTCAAGCCCAAGAAAATATTTTAACAACCCTAAATCTGTCATCTCAAATGTGCTCATCATGCAAGATTTAAAATCATCAATTAAGGACTTAGATGTTCCCATATAGATGATATCATCCACGTAAAGACAGACTAACAAGAATTCTCGATTACCTTGTTGCATAAGGTAAAGAGTGGGCTCATTCTCACTTCTTTTGAATCCGTTTTCTTGAAAGAAAGAATCAATCTTACTATACCATGCACGTGGAGCCTGCTTCAAACCTTACAAAGCCTTTCGCAACTTGTAGGCTTTATTTTCAGCATCTTTAACAACAAATCCTTGAGGTTGAGCTACATACACTTCTTCACTTAACTCACCATTCAAGAAGGCGGACTTCACATCAAATTGAAAAACAGTAGTTGAAATTGTGCAGCCAATGCTATAATTATTCTAACTGTCTCGAATCTAGCCACAGGGGAAAAGGTTTCCTCATAGTCTATACCGTATTCTTGTGAATACCCTTTCGCAACAAGACGAGCTTTGTGTTTTTGAAGACTTCCATCAGCATTATACTTTGTTCGATATACCCATTTAAGTCCTACAACATTCTTGTCTTTTGGAACATCAACCAACTCCCATGTTGAGTTTCTTTCAATGGCTTGTATTTCTTCTTTCATAGCTTTCTGCCACTCAGGTTGCTGAACAGCTTCTTCATAATCGGTTGGATCTGTTGCATACAAGGCAAATGTACAGGAGTTGTAAACATCAGCCACAGATTTGAACTTCTTCGGTGTATCATCATAAGTGTCTCTCGGTGGTGGATTATTTGATGAATTGTCATTATCTGAATCTGAACTTGAAGAATCTGAACTTGAAGAACCTTGATCGCCCTGGGGTATTTCTGCATTATCTCCTGAACTTGTGGATGGTACATCTTCAAAGTTTATAACCTGATCTCTTTCTTTTTGGGTATTAGGTATCCACCTTGCTTCTTCGTTAAACTCAACATTCCTGCTTATTATCACTTTGCCACTAAGAGGGTTATATAAACGATATGCTTTGGATTGAGGACTATACCCAATGAAAATACATTTTAGAGATTTTTCATCAAGTTTTGAACGAGAATTTACCAAAGCATATGCTACACAACCAAAGACTTTTAAGTGACTTACTGTGGGTTTTCTACTTGTCCAAGCTTCATATGGTGTGCGATTCATAACAGCTCTAGTTGGAGAGATATTTAGAATATACACGGCAGTTGCAACAGCCTTCCCCAAAACTGATCAGACAGTCCCTTCGCTTTCAGCATGCTTCTTGCCATTTCTTCTACTGTTCTATTTTTCCTCTCTGCTACCCCGTTTTGTTGGGGTGTTTCAGGTGCTGTTAATTGCCTGTAAATGCCATTTTTATCACAAAAATCATTAAACTCATTAGATAAAAACTCGCCACCACGATCAGTTCTGAGAGCCTTGATGTTCCTGCCACTCTGTTTCTCCACAAGTGCTTTGAAATTCTTGAAACACTCAAAGGCTTCTGACTTGAGTTTTAGGAAATAAACCCAACTCATACGACTGAAATCATCAGTAAGCAGGAAAAAATACCGACTTCCGCCAAATGTCTCAGCTTTCATAGGACCACACAAGTCAGCATGTACAAGTTCTAGGCAATCTGAAGCTCTCCAAGAACTTGCAACGGGAAACGACTTTCTGCTTTGTTTTCCATAAACACACCCTTCACAAAAACCAACTTCACCAATATTTGGCAGCCCGAAAACCATCTCCTTTCTGCTTAGCAATCTCAGCCCATTTACATTCAAATGCCCATATCGTAGATGCCAAAGCCTGGCCTCATTATCACAACTAACCGTTAAGGCTTTATAATCTTTTGTAACATCGAGAGGGAACACTTGATTTTGAGTCATTTGGACAATTGCCATAGGCTGCCCAGATTTCTTGTTAATTATGGAACACGTGTCATCATCAAATACTACACGATGTCCACTTCTCATTAGCTGTCCAACACTCAGTAAGTTGTATGCTAAACTTGGTACAAATTGAACATCATGAAGAACTTTAGTATTACCTTGCATGGTTTCAATAGTGATTGTACCTTCGCCTTTAACTTCAATCTTTCGGTCATTCCCAAGTCGGACTTCACTTTTCTTTGTTTCATCAAGATCTCGAAATGAAGATCTTGAACCAGACATGTGATTCGAACATCCACTGTCTATATACCACACACGATCTGAAACATTAGTAGTTGTAGACATAGTCATAAATAGCCTACCTTCTTCTTCCACCTTTTCAGTAAAGTTAGCTTTATTTTCATCTTTTTGCTTGGTCCAACAATCAGCTTCAACATGTCCAGATCTATTACAATACCGACATTGCAGGTTGCTCTTTTGGTAACGTTGATCTGCAAAGTTTCCTCTTCCTCTTCCACGACCACGACCTCGAAAAGTGCCTCTTCCTTGCCCACGACCACCGGAAGAACCACCAGATTTTCTGGTCTGCCTTTAAAAGAATTGCCTCTTACTTGGAATGCTTTCTCATCACCTTTTTCGCTGCCCCTGTTTAACCTTTCTTCGTGTGCAATCAAAGAACTCATCAACTCATCAAACGTGTAAGTTGATAGGTCCTTAGATTCTTCAATCGCGACAACAACATGATTAAATTCCTTGGTCAGGCTTCGTAGGACTTTGCTTACTATTGTTTTTTCACTAACATTTTCACCATAAGTTTTCATGTGACTGACAAGTCCAGATACTCTAGAAAGAAATACTTGCACAAATTCCTTTTCTTTCATAACCAAAGTTTCAAATTCACGACGAAGTGATTGAAGTTTCACAGTGATTACCTTTTTATCACCCATATATTCTTGCTTCAAAATTTCCCATGCCTCCGTGGATGTTGATGCTGCAGCAATACGAGGAAATATTTCATCATCCAACGCCGATTGAATGTATAGAAGAGCCTTTGCATCCTTCTTACGAGTGTCCCGCAACGGTTGATCTGGTTGAGCCGGTGCTGGAGTTGGCTCTGTGTATCCATTCTCCACCAATTCCCAAAGCTCCTGGGATGTGAACAAAGTCTTCATTTTTAGACTCCACAAACGATACTTTTCTCCTTTGAAGACTGGAATCAGAGGCTGAGTTGCAGAACTGTTGTTGTTGCTTGCCATTGCTATCTCTCTTAGGTGTTTCACTCAGTTACTCCTTTCTTTTGCTCGATAAAGAAAGAAGCGGATCAGAACCTGGAACTGCTCTGATACCACTGTTGTTTGTAAATAGAAGAAGAGGAGAAAATGGATAATATTTCACTGCTGTTTAAAACTGAGAAATTACAGAGCTTAAATAGGAAACAAAAACATGAACTGAAAGAAAGATAAAAAGACAGACTAAGACTCTTGACTTTTGTAACTGAAAAACAACTTTTAAGACTCTACTAATACAGTAATTAAAGACACATGGCAGTGATTATTTTGAATCAATTAACCAACAAATAAAAGTTAATTCTCATCAAACCATGCCACTAAACAATGAGTGCCTTTCCACTTCCACTTCAACACGGACACAAATTGTATCATGTCGAATGGAATTTCACACAAATCAATTGCTAAACGTCATTATTACATTGCAATCTTTACGTTCATGAAAAATTGGAAGATTGAATATTCGTTCACATTTATTATCAGAATGCTGAAATAATGGTATAAAATACAAATACAACAAAAACTATAAATCCTAAAAAAAAATCCTTTCATACAGATTTCAAACGCAATTTCAAGTTCAAAAATTTACCAAGAGGGAAGCTGGCGGTGGAGGTGGGTGTAGTTGGCAGAGGGGCAAGGCGGCGATGAGTTTACTAAACTTCCGGTGCGAAGAAGATATCCGTGACCTCGATTTACTTGGAGAGTTTGCCGTATAAGGTGAATCGGACCACTGTATTTATCGATTACTAAAAGATAGAGAGGAGAAGAATAGGTGTCGCCAGAGGTGGCGGAAGTATAGAAGATCGTGGCGGGTGCTGAGTGGAACTATCTATCATGTGGGAAGAAGAGGTGTGGTGAGGGAAGCATGACGTCGGTCGTCGGAGGGAGCTTTTTCTTTGAACGGAAAAAGAGCAGCAAGCAGTGGGGAGGTTATTTACAGAAAGGTCCTTGTAATTTATAGCTTTTATCAAGTTTAATCTGAGGGTAAAAAAGTTTTTTTTTATTTTTTTATTTTTTTATTTATAGTATTAGTAACGGAACTGAGTGTAACGAATCCATGGACCTCCGTCCACCGGTGAGGCAAACCCTCCACACTCCAGAGGGACTACCCATGATTACTAGGACTAAAAGTGATATTTTGGGAAAATCACAGGGACCAAAACTGTATTTTACTCTAACATGGGTGGATTGGTCTATTCACTTAATGTGTTGCTTTAAAACGTCATATTCGTACGAGATTAACAGGAAGAAGAAAAAAAAATTATAGCTAATGAAAACGTAAATCCAAACGAAGTTCCATGCCATTTTCCTTCAAAACGACACCGCTTGACATGCAGGCACGGGCCCACTTTTCCATTTAAATCCATCAACTTCATTGCAAATTTCAACACAAGAAAGAAAATCACAGACTGAAAGAAGAAATATCAGATATGTTGATGAACATCGTCTTCTACCTCTGTATACTCTTTCCGATCATCCGTATCAAGCACGATTTGCTCAATTTAATCACGGAGTTCTTCTCCTACTTGTTTCGATACGATCACAATACTCCATACCCAAGCCTCGTCGATCTTCCCGTTATCAGGTTCGAAGAGCTGCTGGAAAGGCGAAACAGATCTGTGGAGGAGATGTGCTTCATATGCTCTGCCGATTTCCATCTCGAAGACGTTGTTTGTCAGCTCAGTAGGTGTCGTCATGTCTACCACTCCGACTGCGTCGCTCAATTGCTTCAACAGAAACAACCGACTTGCCCGTTCTGCCGCTCTCCGATCTTCTCCGGCCTTTCACCGATGGCTTGTGAAAACTTTTGACCGTCGCCGTCGAGCAGAAGAAGATAAAGACTCCGAATCAGTCCCATGTGTCGTTCCTCTCGTTTTTTGTAAAAGCGTGTGCTTAACTGCTAATCTTTATGCATGGTTTAGAAATATTATAAATTATTATTAAGTTTCACATTCGAATTAGAAGTCATAACGTACGTATTTGATTTTGGGGCTACAAGACACAATATCCTATACTTCGGTAGAGGATGATTGAATTTGAAGATGTGAATATGTGATCTCTCTTGGAAACTCTAAGAGGGTTAAAACAAAGTTATTGGAAAACGATAAAATGCGCCTCAAACTTTTTTATTTTTCCCGTACACCACATAATTCAGGGTGAATCTAGAAAGATTATTTGTTGGGGGTGCTAGTAGTCAATGTCAATCTGTATTAAATTTTGTGTGTCTAGATTTCAGTACTTTATTAACAAAATAAAACTTATGTTTGAATCCCACGTTCTAAAAAAACTTACATGTGTCAAACTTAATTAAGACCGCCGAATAAACAAATCGTATTAGTTGGGTTATCGGATTGCGTCTTGATGATATTATTTTGATCTTTGTAGTACTAATTTTGCTCATAATAAAATCGTGATTCAAAGAATTCTAGTCTATAAAGGATTAATCTAAACATATAGTAATTGATGGATGTTATTAAACATACTTTCCCTTTAGATATGTGGTGCAACTCTCATATCTATGAGTATCAATAATTGGGAGTTTAAAGGAAGAATTGAATGATGTGGCATGCTTACTTGTCATTTAATGGATACAACCCTATCATTGTGAAATGTTATATTGATATTTAATGGATTTGGAGTTGAATGGGAAAAAGAAAAAATATTTAAATCTTAAATTTTTTTTTTAATCTGTTTCATTAAACTTGTAGAGTTTAATGCATTGTGGGATAAAAATAAATAGAGTTGTATGAAATAGTGAATGATGACGTGTCACTCCATTGAACTCTATAGACTTTAATACATTACGAATGCCCTAAGGCTGCATGGAATAACGATGTAATGCCCACTGAAAAATGAGGTGGCAAAGCCACCTTACACATGAACACTGTCCTCGAAGACGTAAGTAGGAGGTGGCGTAGGCCGACTTATGTTGCATTACAAGGGAGAGCAAGAAAGAGTAACACTCTTGTGATCGTTTTTTTAATGTTGGCATTAAAAAAACAACTTAAAAAAGTATCAAATATTTACTTATAAATACCATCTCATTTCATATATATTTTCAATAGTCACCAATTTTTTTTTCTCTTAGACAGACTATTCCTCATTCACAAAACATCCAGAAATTGATCAAAATTCAAACGCATCGACTTCATCCACTGGCCCATGAATCACGATGTTGAGGGTTCAAAACATGCTACTTCCACCACAAACTCACCTATTCCATAACCACCCTCTTTCCAATTTGCAACAACCAAACATCACACAAATTCCAACAATTTCAACAACCTAAAACCCCATCTTCCCAACAAATAATCACCTTCCCAACCCTAATCTCCTCACGATGATGTCATTAAAAAAGGTTTCGAAAACACGACCACCAAAATCTTCGAGAAGAAAAAACAAAGAAAAGAGGGAAAAGGGCAAATTTATTGGACTGGGGATAAGGAAGTGACGCTTTCAAAAGCTTGGATTTCAATATCTTTAGGTAGGAAGATGGAAAACGCCCAAACCACGACGACGTTTTGGAATCACGTTCTAGTACACTCCCACTTGTAAATGGGAAAGTGCGCGTACCAAACTTACGATGATGTAAACAAAAAATGACACGAGCTAAGAGCTACTTAAACAAATTTTAATAGAATCTACATTAACCTCACAAACATGCATCAAAATATGTGTAATGAATTCAACCTTTTAAGCACTGTTTTTCACCAATACAAAACCACACAGAGTGGTACACCCTTTGGCCATAAAAAAGCATGGTGTATCAGGCGAGTTGGTTCGAAGTGGGTCTTTGATCCAAGCTCGTTTAGTCAATCGCAATCCACCAGCTCTAATAAATAAGGGAGAACTTCATAGTCAGATGAGGAACTACATGAAATCACCCTTCGACGCCTAATAGGAAGTGACAAAGCGAAAAGGGTGGCATCATCGTCAATAAGGGACAAAGGAAAAAGCATCACTGAAACGAATAATGTACTAGTTTTTCACTAAAACCTGACAATCATTTTATCTTTCTTAAAAACAATCATCTTATCTTTCTTACAAAAGCTCAGAGTTCAAAAATTCATATCGAGAGGAGGAGCAAATGCTTAAGGACTTTAAAATTATAAACATGACTCTGCATCCGGATTTTCACCCCATCAATTCGACCTTTTTAACAAGATCTAACATAAAATGATTACAAATACAATGATTATAATTTTTATGTTTTAATGTAAATTTTAATTTTAGCATAACGTTTATTTAAAAAAAAATAGGTTTATAATGTAATTTTTACTTTTTGTTTTAGTAATTTAACTTATATTTGGTCCACAGAAGGTAAGTAACATTTTCCTTTTGTTCCTTTTGTTTCTTTAGGTTACACTCATAATGAAGCCTTGTGTAACTCCCGCAAATTCATGGTAGACACTTAAGATATAATAAGTAACAATTATTCATCGTGCGGTCGATAAATAGATGATTTTGATAGAATATTATTTACGATTAATAATCTTATCCAAAATTATAGTAGATATGACAATGATTTCATATATATAAAAACTGTGAAATCCGATTTCATATGAAGAAGTTATGCTTCTTCGAAGTTTCGCGATTAAACCAACACAACTATACGCATCGTAAAAACTAAATTTTAGATAGGTTGCATATTAGCCTAAGTAATTTAAATGCAAGTCGTAGTAATCGTAATAGATAAAGTGTGCATCTAGAGAACATCCAATCTAACTTCGTATGAGGAGTTATGATTTTTTCGAAGTTTCAGCATAGCAATGTGCGATACATAAACCGAAATTCAAATGGCTCTACTGTTAGTGAAAACAATCTAAACGAGAGTCGAAGATCTTCTTGATATGATTCCTTCAATATAAAGACAGTCGATAACGGATGTTATACAAAATACTTATGATTTTTATACATACTTTAACAGTCTTAGCTTGTTAAAGATATATCTTTAAAAAAATGAGAATTAGCTGACAGAATCTGAATGAAAGTTGTAGACTCTCTCACGACCCTAGAGAATTAATCAACAAAGTAAGTTTAAATGATTCTAGAGGAAGCAAGATTTAGTCTGAAAATATAACTTTTGATCGAGTAAAGTTAGCATCGATTAGCCATGAAATATTATGAAATTGTTATATGTAAACTTTGAAAAATATTTTTTATTGTTCCTTATAATATGAGATACTTACGTGTTTTTTGTGTTTTTTTTTAAATGAAGATTAACAATCATATTGCATTTTTCATATTTACTAAATATATAATAATTAAATATAATTTATGAAGCCTATATTTACACTTTATAACCTTGTAAAGGATTTTTTTTTACAGTCGCATGTATTCTAAACACGTCGGGGTCAGAGATGGGTGGACTGAGTTCGCCGGAAGAAAAATCCAGGTGATAAATCGAAGGTCGTTACAACCTTGTACGTTACAAATCTACAGGTTGATGTAACTGTGGAGATGATTAGGAAGTCTTTTCAGTCCTTTGGGAAAATGGTAGACGTATACATTCCGGGGAGGAAGGACGAAGGAGGTATGTTTTTCGCATTCATCATACGTAGGAATCACAGATACCGACTCTCTTGTGACAACACTAAACCAAGTCAGATGTGGGCATAGTATAGCAAAGGTCAATATTGAAAGGTATGAGAAGAAGCCTCCCCCCACCCAGAAAAATACCCCCTCCAAGTTCTTACCACCCTAGACGGATGTCGGTCCCAATTGCTAAACGCAGCAACATTAGTACCGGGAAAACTTTCGCCGATGCTGTCATCGGGAGTCTTAGGAAACCTGATACTGTGAGAACCCAAGATAGAGTTGGATTTCAATGTGAAATGTTACATTGACATTTAATGGATTTGGAGTTCAATAGTCATTGAACTCTTCAATGGGAAAAAGAAAAATATTTAAATCTTTAAAAAATTATTTTTTTAAATATGTTTCATTAAACTTATAGAGTTTAATGCATTATGGGATAAAAATAAATAGAATTGTATGGAACAGTGAATGATGACGTGTGACTCCATTGAACTCTATAGACTTCAATTGTAACGACCCATTCCCGGTATGTTGATTTATTGGTAATTATAGTGAGTTTTCTAGAGGGACTCAGCGAGTTCTAGCCTGACTCGCCGAGTCTGGTCGCGTCTGAGGGCACGCGTGAGCCGGGGACTCAACGAGTCCATGTCCCCGACTTTGCGAGTCAATCTGTCTGGGTGAAACCCTAAAATCCCCGGGTTGCCCACTATTTATACCACCTTATAGCCCCCCCATTCTCGCCTCCCTCACCCTGAGAACACAGTGTTAGAGCCCCAAACCTCCATTGAAGAGCTTATTTGTGTTTGGTGCCCTCTTTGTGAAGGTGTGAAGAAGGAGAAGAAGGAAGAGGCAAGGAGAAGGGTTGGAGTGCAAAGATCCAAGGCCAAATCAGAGTTTATTGAGGTATTTTCGGAGTTCCATCTTATTATATGCTTTAAACTTCCATTAGGGCTCTCCTAAGAGCTAGTTGGTGCTTGTTTCAAGCCTTACACTTGCATGAATGTCTTATTAAGTCGAAATATCTATGGATCTGAATGTTGGGGTGTTGTAGAGCCCAGATCTACTGTCTTTTTGGGTTATATTGCATGTTAGCCATAGATTACCATTTTATGCATCTTTTAGCCTTATTTCCCTTATTCATGAGGTTGTGCACGTAAAGTTGGAAACTTTACGTGGTAAAACAGCTTATTGGACTCAGATCTATCAATTGTATGCATTGGATTCAAACAAAATCAAGTAAAAATCTGTTGCATGGCGGCGACTCACCGAGTCG